GTGTCCTGCCGTCTACTATTTACTCTTCCCACCGAGTCTCAGAATAAAACGTGTCCTGCCGTCTACTATTTACTCTTAGGCGGACTTTCCAGGAAAGAACATCGGCAGCTTTTACAGATGATCTTGAGACTTACCCAAGTCTAAGCTTACATCAGAATCTTTTATTTAGGTAATGATATTAAACTCTTGACACAGATTAAAATAGAAGCATAAAAATCATTATATTCATAATTAAAATCTGAGCTGTAATATGCTTGTAGTGCTTTTAAGTTGTATGTCCCATGACAAGCAACCAGGTCTTCTACTTTCTTAATGATGAAAAGTCTGTGATTTTTATAGAATAATGTTTACCTTGTGAGGGTTTAGATCACTTTTATAAAGTTTTTTTTGATGTACTGTAAATTGTATAGCTTGATGGAGGTATGTTTTTGATACTTTTAAAGGTAGTCATTTTTGTATTATATTTTAAGGTTATTGATACTTAAATATCATATTGAGCAATATCTTAAAGCACCTAGCTTCTGAATACACTTCAGCCTTTATTGAAAAATGCATCTTTTAACTTTTCCTCAAAAAATATTTTTTCAAGTGATCCAAATCAGTGGTGAGGAGGGTGTAGGAGGCCTGGGAGGGCGTGATCAAGGGTAATGTAACCAAGAGGAATTACTAAAACCCAAATGGAGGCTGAGCATGATAGTGGGACAAGAGGAAAGTCAAAGGAAATAGAGGGAAGAGCTAGAAGGCAAAGGACATTTGTAGAGGTCTAAATAAAGGCATGTACATCTGCAAATATACTTGTCTATGAGGATGGGGAAATAGATCTATGTGCATATATTTATAGGTTTAGTATTAAGGTAGCAGAAGGACATCGGGCCTCCACTCAAGTACTCCTTCAATGCAAGAACACTTTCTTCTATTAAATTGGCATTCTAAGATGCTCATCTTCCCGACACAACCACTGAAGACAAAGCGGGTGAATAAGCAAATGTGGTGAAGAAAGCTGATGGTGCCCGGCTATCAAAAGATATAGCGTCTGGGGTCTTAAAAGCTTGAAGGTAAACAAGCGGCCATCTAGCTCAGAAGCAACAAAGCCCACATGGAAGAACACATGAGCCTGTGTGATCATGAGGTGCCGAAGGGATCAGTTATCAGGTATCAAAGAACAAAAAAATCATATCATTGTATGCTCACCTCCCTGATAACGATCGCTGAAGACAAATGGGTGCATAAGCAAATGGGGCAAAGAAAGCTGATGGTGCCCGGCTATCAGAAGATACAGCGTCTGAGGCTTAAAGGCTTGAAGGTAAACAAGTGGCCTTCTAGCTCAGAAGCAACAAAGTCCACATGGAAAAAGCACACCAGACTGCGATCACGAGGTGTCAAAGGAATCAGGTATTAGGCATCATCAGAACAAAAAAATCATAGTGAATAAGGAGGGGAGTGTGGAGTGGAGACCCAAAGCCCATTTGTAGGCCACTGAACATCCTCTTACAGAAGTGTCTCGGGGAGGAGACGAGCCAGTCAGGGTGCGATGTAGCAAGGATGAAACACACAACTTTCCTCTAGTTCCTAAATGCTTCCTCCTCCCTGACTATCATGATCCCAATTCTACCTTATAAATCTGACTAGACCAGAGGCTACACACTGGTACAGATAGGAACTGGAAACACAGGGAATCCAGGGCGGATGATCCCTTCAGGACCAGTGGTATGAGTGGCGATACTGGGATGGTGGAGAGAGGGTGGGTTGGAAAGGGGGAACCGATTACAAGGATCTGCATGTAACCTCCTCCCTGGGGGATGGACAACAGAAAAGTGGGTGAAGGGAGACGTCGGACAGGGCAAGATATGATAAAATAATAATTTATAAATTATCAAGGGTTCATGAGGGACGGGGGAGCAGGGAGGGAGGGGAAAAATGAAGAGTTGATGCTAGGGGCTTAGGTGGAGAGCAAATATTTTGAGAATGATGAGGGCAATGAATGTACAAATGCGCTTTACACAATTGATGTATGTATGGATTGTGATAAGAGTTATATGAGCCCCTAATAAAATGATAAAAAAAAGCCAAAATATTTTTTAATGTAGCTTTTTATGATGTAAGAGAAAACCATTAACAAATTATTAACAAAGTAATAGTTATTTTTAGGCTCTATTTTGTACATCATTATAGCTATGGCTACTTTTTGAAACATTTGAATTACTGTACAATGTGTTTTAAAGAAGAATCAATAAAACAATGATGTAATCTTTATCAATATTGACTGTCCAATATAAGATAACATTTGGCTTGCTGTTCTTCTCATCTACATTGCACTTGGTCACACCCCACCAGGCAATTCTATGCGCTCCTCGCCATTGATTTTAGGTCTCGTTGTTTGCTTGTCCCTGGGTTTTTTGGTTTCCCCTTCCTTTTCCCCCACCTCTAGGATAACATTTTTAAAGACGACATCTTAACCAGCTTTATTTCTTAAAGCCACCTTTATATACTTTTTAGGTTTTGTTGCCTTTAGTGTTTTTGATACTTGTTTGGAGGTTCTAACTGAGAGTGCAGCTCCTCGTATACCCTTGACCGAAGGACAGCCCTCCTATCAGGGAAGGTCATGGTCCTCTTCAGTAGGGCATGCAGCTTCGGGAGGGACGCACATGGAGCGGTGAGGGAGGAAGGGGACACCGCCTAACCAGCCAGATCAGCCGAATCAACCCTGGTGATCAGTGGGGTGACAGTCATCGCAGTCAGATCACCCTCACATCTTCCTTTAGTGTTTTAATAATGTGAGCCCTATCCAATGGACTCTTAGAAAGAACCCCTTTCTTATTTTTATCTTCAGATCACATTGCTCACCCAGAGACCCTATTTATTACCAACAACAATAAATTGTTTGTTTATATTTGGGAGGATATGTACTTTTTCCCTGTTCTTCAGGGAGTTGAACTGATGCCTTATCTAAACTCCTTAGTGTGATGTTGCTCTTGGCAGCCACATGATTGCAGTTCGTGAGGACACATTTCCCCGCCCGCTGTCCTGTTTCTCCTTCCGGTGGGTTCATGAGATTTGTCCTCTGAGTTTACTCAGAGTTCACCGAGCTTTCTTACTGAGAATAAAGATTTTTGAGAATAACTCAAAATGTTGAAAATGCTGATCTTATAGCAATTATATAGAACCATGCAGGCCTTATTATTATTTTAAAAAATCATTTTATTGGGGCTCATACAATTCATCACAGTCCATACATACATCAATTGTGTAAAGCACACTTATACATTTGTTGCCCTCATCATTCTCAAAATTCGCTTTCCGCTTGGGTTCCTGGAATTAGCTCCTCATTTTCCTTTTTCCCCTCCTCCTCCCTGCCCGCTCCCCCCTCCCTCATGAACCCTTAATAATATATAAATTATTATTATATCTTACCTTACACTGTCCGGCGTCTCCCTTCACCCACCCTTCTGTTGCCCATCCCCCAGAGAGGAGGTTATATGTAGATCCTTGTTATCGATTCCCCCTTTCTAATCCCCCCTTCTCTCCCAGTATGGCCACTGTCACCGCTGCTCTTGAGGGGTTCATCTGTCTTAGATTCCCTGTGTTTCCAGTTCCCATCTGTACCGCTGTGCATCCTCTGGTCTAACCAGGTTTGCAAGGTAGAATTGGGATCATGGTAGTTGGGGGAAGAAAGCATTTAAGAACTAGAGGAAGTTTGTGAGTTTTATTATTGCTATACTGAATCAGAAGTTCGGAAGGAAGCCCTTACTTAAGAGTTTTATGAGTCCAGTTCAGCATCTTTCTGGATTGAGGACAGCATATGTAAAGTTGGGTAAATACTGCTTCTTGACATGGCTAAGAGCATCACTCCCCCGAACACGAGTTTCTCTTTTTTCTCCCATCTGTGGACGGTTTGGTAGCGTCATGAGGTGAGAGCTTGATCATTCCAAATATTGATGCAAGGAGATTTTGGTATAAAAGTCAATATTTCTTTTTAGTTCATTTTTAAAATATTAATTGTGTGGGGTGTTATGTTTTTGGCAGTGAAAACCATCAGAAATTATTCTGTTTCCATACAAAGATCATATGAAAGTCACAGCTATCTCTAACGAAAATATTTGTATATTTCTCCAATAATTTGTAGATGAAACCAGCTTGTATAAAAGCCCTTACTCGAATATTTAAAATATCCGATCAAGATAATGATGGTACTCTGAATGATGCTGAACTCAACTTCTTTCAGGTAGCTTGCTGTTTGTTATTTCATTTGTCTCTCAAGGTCTATTGTATATGATATTTAAAAAGTGTCAACTTAGACAATAGTTCATTTATAAACGTGTCTTTTTCTTATAAAACTATCATTTATATCAAGCTATAGGAACCGTTGCCTAGGGTATAGAGTGCTCTCATGCCTAGGAATTGAGGGGACTCTTTGATAAGTCTCATTTCAGGGTATACAATTAGTGCATTAAGGATGACTTGAAGTCTGAACTCTGGATTATTTGGCTATTTTCAGTTTTCTATAACATAGTTACACAAAGAGCCCTGTGTTTAGAAATGGGACTAGGGGGTTTCTTTCCTCCACGCTTGATGAGCTTTACTTAACTACTACAAAGCAGAGACTTAGTTCATTGAGTCTTTCATTTGCAACTCTGATTTAATGGTTGTTTTGAAGACTAATGTTTTATATTATTTGTGGTTTTAATGCTAACTTGTTTTAAATGGATTTTTGTGTTTTTGCTAGAGAATTTGTTTTAACACTCCATTAGCTCCACAAGCTCTGGAAGATGTCAAGAATGTAGTCAGGAAGCATATAAGTGATGGTGTGGCAGACAGTGGATTGACACTCAAAGGTGGGTATGATTTGGTAGAAGGTGAAGGTCCCGTAGCATTACTTATACTTTAAGCAAATAATAGTATTTGCTAGCATGTCTAGAATCTTATCTTGGATCTTTCAGAGACAAGGCCATTGTTGAGCATAATTGTCCTTATTGTTAGGGAAACTGGGTGGATCTCAGATATGCTGAGGTCCATCTAAAGGAAAGAAATATCTGGAACAAACAAATTTGTCTTAAAATTCTTCCTATTCAGAAGTAGATTTTAAATAGAAATTATCTTCAGGAAAGGTATTTTATCTACTAGTCAAATTTGCCAAGTATAAAATATTCCCTGTAGAGTATGTTGTGGAGCCATAATGAAATAAGGAGTAAAATTGAAAAACAACATTTTCTACTATAGAAATAAGCACAGATCTAGAAAACCATTTAATCTGATTTTTAAAAAAATCTGATTTTGTCATAGAACTTTATCAGTGTCTTTGAGTAAGTCAAAAACTATTGCTAGGGAGGTTCTAGTTGATACATGCATAAGTGTATTCCAATGAAAATATGTTTAAGTATGCCTGCGATCAGACAAGTTCTGTCAGAATACCTTTGCTACAGCTTCATTTGGGTTTCTTTATAAAAAGATCCAAGTGGTTCTCTGCTCCTCCTCGTGTGACAGACAGCTGCCTCTCCCATTCCCGTGCAGTCCCAGCCGCATCCCGGAGACACGATGGTGAAGGTCAGAGTGAACGGATTTGGCCGCATTGGGCGCCTGGTCACTAGGGCTGCTTTCAATTCTGGCAAAGTGAAAATTGTTGCCATCAATGACCCCTTCATTGATCTGAACTACATGGTCTACATGTTCCAGTATGATTCCACCCACGGCAAGTTCAATGGCACTGTCAAGGCTGAGAATGGGAAGCTTATCGTCAATGGGAAGGCCATCTCCATCTTCCAGGAGCGAGATCCCGCCAACATCCAGTGGGCTGAAGCTGGTGCTGAGTATGTCGTAGAGTCCACTGGTGTCTTCACCACCGTAGAGAAGGCTGGGACTCACTTGAAGGGCAGTGCCAAAAGGGTGATCATCTCTGCCCCTTCTGATGCCCTCATGTTTGTGATGGGCGTGAACCACGAGAAGTAATGACAACTCCTTCACTATTGTCAGCAATGCCTCCTGCACCACCAACTGCTTAGCCCCCCTGGCCAAGGTCATCCATGAGAATTTGGCATCGTGGAAGGACTCATGACCACAGTCCATGCCATCACTGCCACTCAGAAGACTGTGGATGGCCCCTCTGGGAAACTGGCATGATGGCCGTGGGGCTGCTCAGACATCATCCCCGCATCTACTGGCACTGTCAAGACTGTGGGCAAGGTTATCCCAGAGCTGAATGGGAAACTGGCATGGCCTTCCATGTCCCCACCCCCAATGTGTCCGTCCTGGATCCCACCTGTCATCTGGAGAAAGCTGCCAAGTACAATGACATCAAGAAGGTGGTGAAGCAGGCGGCTGATGGTCCCTTAAAGGGCATCCTGGGCGACACTGAGGACCAGGTTGTCTCCTGTGACTTCAACAGTGATCCCCACTCTTCCACCTTTGATGGCATTGCCCTCAAGGACCATTTTATCAAGCTCATTTCCTGGTATGACAATGAATTTGGCTACAGCAACAGAGTGGTGGACCTCATGGTCCACATGGCGTCCAAGGAGTAAGAACCCCCCTGGACCACCAGCCCCAGTAACTGCACTAGAGGAAGAGAGGCCCTCAGCTTCTGGGGAGTCTTTGCCCCTAATTCAATCCCCCAACACACTGAGAATATTCCATCCAGACCCCCTGAAGGAAGGGGAGGGGCTTAGAGAACTCGACCTTGTCATGTACCATCAATAAAGTACACTATAGGGGGGGGCGGGCGGGGGGAGATCCAAGCAAGATGGCCATTCCTAAGAAGTCTGAGGGGCCAATGTAGTTCATGACAGAGATAGCTCAAAGGTTATGGTAATTATGTTTTGGGATACAGGGCTGTCAGAAGGCTTAGTATGAAGAAGTTTTAAGAAAAGAGAAATGAAGGGAGATGTTGGAAAGTGTAAAACATGACAAACTAATAATAATTTATAAATTATCAAGGGTTCATGAGGGAGTGGAGAGTGGGGAGGGAGGGGAAAAAATGAGCTGATACCAAGGACTCAAGTAGAAAGAAAATGTTTTGAGAATGATGATGGCAACAAATGTACAAAAACGCTTGACACAATGGATGAATGTATGGATTGTGATAAGAGTTGTATGAACTCCCAATAAAATGCTTTTTTTTTCTAATCATTTTATTAGGGGCTCATCCTACTCTTATCACACACAATCCATACATACATCAATTGTGTAAAGCGCATAAAATGCTTTTTTTAAATTAAAAAAAAATTAAGAAAGTGAAATGGATGCCTGAAGATGAAAAAAAGAAAGAAAGAAAAGAGAAAACTCCATTGATAAGAAAAAGGTCAGGAAAGTTGCATTGAGGAATTTTTTTCCCCATCATGACATTGTACCTGCCTATTCTTCCAATGTGAATTTTGTTGGGAAACCTTACGCCATCTACCCTCTACCGTTTATCTTGCCCCTTGAGACTTCTTTTTGTTTACCAAACTCAAAGAAAATGTAAAAGGTGTATGACTTGAGCCCCTCAGGGTGCCGTAACTGCTGTTTCCACATGGTACCAATCAAGAGTCAGATGGGACCACCACCTGCAGAAGTATATAGACTTTGATGGGTGACATCAAGAAACAATGGCCTCACTTTTTAATATTGCTTAATACATAGTTCTATGATTTTATAGCAATACTTTATTCGTTACCATTATATTCTTTGGGATATATCTTTGTCCCCTTTATTCAGGGCTTGCTCTTGCTGGACTGGCTGTATATGTGAAACAATGATTCTGAAATCAGCCGTTTCCTCCAGACACCTAGTTGTGAGCTCCATTTTGCCTTGACCTTCAGTGTGCAGTACAGGTGAACACTGGTGACGGTTGCAGATGTAGCTCTCTTCATTGTGTGCTGTTTGCTCTTCTCCCCTGTACCTCTGCCATTCTTCACATCAACTTTATTTACTAATTTACTTTATTTCAGGTTTTCTTTTTTTACACACACTTTTTATTCAGAGAGGGAGACATGAAACTACCTGGACTGTGCTTCGACGATTTGGTTATGACGATGATCTGGAGTTGACACCTGAGTATTTGTTCCCCCTGTATGTACTTTGGCTTTCTGATTAATTTCAATTACTAATTTTTTTAGAAGTTTGATTTAGCACATAGGTAGGTGGGCATCAGGCTGCTAAGAAATCACTTAGATTAACAATAGGGTTTCTCAGTCTGGGCATTATTTATATTTTAGACCGGATCACTCTTGGTCTTGGAGGCTGCCTTGGACATTATAGGATAGTTAATGCTTCCTTAGGCCCTACTAACACTCCCCACAGTTTTGAGAACAAAAAAATGCATTAAAAAGTTACCACATGTTCTTCCCACCCCACCCCCACACACACCTTTGGGCGAAGTCATCCCAGGTTGTGGACCACTGATTTATTTTAAACACCAGTAGCCTTTCAGTCCATTCTAAGTCATTACTTACAGCATGACTCAAATAGTTTTCTTTTATTCCCAGTGAGTACAAGCATCTTTTAAAATTCTTTTTACTGAGGAAGGAAAAAAAAGGAATGCTCTACAGATGTGTTTTAACATGAAGAGATGAGAATAAATGGGTTAGGCTCTCTATTCTAGTCAATACCAGAGTACTTACAGTTCACCAAACATGTTCTTCCCTACCATACACAGGCCTTCACCTGTGCTATCTCCCCCCGCTCCCTCCTAACCTGGCTAATGCCTGTCACCCCGCAAGCATTAGCTCAGGTGACAGTGTCTCATAGACGCTGACATCTCCCTACCCCCGAGCCAGCACTGCCCCTTTCTTGTGGGCTGCCCTCACATGTTGACCCATGTTGGCACTTAACTCATTTTGTTTGTGGTCGATGATGTGTTTCCTTAGGGAGTCTGTTTGGTTTCGGTGTCCTGGGTGCAGTTGATCAGTATTTACTACACTGGGTGTGGGGTGGGCTAGAAAGGTCAAATCAGGCAAAAGTAACATCTCTTCATATCGTTTTCAATTCATTACCAATGCCGGTATTAACTGAAGTCCATGGTGATGCCTTAAAATTGCTTTAAAAGAAAAATTAGGGAGCCCTTGTAGTATAGTGGTTAATCATTGGGCTGCTAACAGCAAGAAAAATTAATATGTTACAGTTTTAATCAATGTTCCTTGAGTTTTTGTTTCAGCATGCCCTTTTGTTATTTAACCCTGCATGTCACCTTCTGCATTGGGAATAACCACTCTAATGGCATTTCTGTGGATTGCTTTAACCACGCCATACTTTCTCTGGGAAATCCAAATGGCTAGTGGAGATATTTTTGTAACATGTTGTCACCCCACACAGACTTCTTGCAGTTTTATATTCACTTCTTAAATTAAATTTTAATATTTGATTATTTATTTATTTTACTCTTACATTTTTTTCACCAACAGGCTAAAAATACCTCCTGATTGCACTACTGAATTAAATCATCATGCATATTTGTTTCTCCAGAGCACCTTTGACAAGCATGATTTGGTAAGCTTTTAGCTGCAATTTTCCACAGTGTACAATATAAGACATTTTTCTTTTTTATAATAGTTTTATTGGCATTTCATCCACATATTATATAATTCATATCATATAATTCAATTCAGTTGTATCGAGAAGAGTTGTACAATCATTGAAATCAGTTATTCATGTAATTTTTTTAAATTGTGGCAAAGATATATGCAACAAAGACATTTTTCTATGAATGATATAACTGTTTTCTTAGTTAAGGGGTTCACATGTCACATAGCCAAAAATTTCTCAGACTGCAATTAACTAAAACTGCAAAAATATTTTTTACTATCTGTTTTTATTGTAAAGGACTTATCTTTGTTTAGACTCTGTTTAAAACACACAACAAACTCACTGCCATTGAGTCGGTGCCAACTCATAGCAACTCTAGGACAGGGTAGAATTGCCCTTATGAGATTCCAAGACTATAACTTTTTTTTCCCCCAAAAAAATCCTTTTTATTGGGAGGCAATACAGATATCATTCCATAGTTCAGTCACAACAGTATTGTACAATTGCTAGTATAATCAGTTTCAAATCATTCTCTTTCTTCTTGAACTCCTTGATATCAGCTCCCTTTACCCCCATCCTCCCCCGAGACTCTAACTTTTTATGGGAATGGAAAGTCCCGTCTTTCTCCCAAGGAGCAGCTGGTGATTTCTAGCTGCTGACCTTAAACTATCTCAGCCTATTCCATAACCACTAAGTCACCGGGCTCCTAGACTCTTTGATAGGATTTTTTATGTACGTGTTAGAGATTTTCACGATCACATGTAAAACATTTTTTTCATTGATTAGTTTTCAGAAATATATCTTTACTAGACTAGGGGGATCTTGTTTTGGGGGTTATTCTTTTAGATATCTAATCATTGTACTTCCTTGTATGTCTCCAGGATAGAGACTGCGCATTGTCACCTGATGAACTTAAAGACTTGTTTAAAGTGTTCCCTTACATTCCTTGGGGGCCAGATGTGAATAACACAGTTTGTACGAATGAGAGAGGCTGGATAACCTACCAGGGATTCCTCTCCCAGTGGACGTGAGTGGACCCTGGATTCTCTGGACTTATCATTAATTTAAACATGGTGCTTTACATTAATAGTTGTATAAGCTTATCAGCTCTTATTAAGTGCTTCAATCATAAATGACTGTGAGGAGGATTTAATTTTCTGCTGATCCCTGTAAGATACAGTACAGATGTAGTCAAGTAGGGATATGTTTGCTCTTGGATGATGTTCAGGGAAAAGTACTAACTCTTACATCGAAACGTGAGTACATTCTAGTACTTTTTTGTTTGATTAGGGAATAGGAAATGTCATTGCTATTGCACAGGCTTTAGGATGAGAAGCATATTTTGTTCCTGATGAACTCTTACTGAGACTTAGGATTTGTCTACAAAATCGATAGAGTAGCGTGGTGGCCATTGTGCCATAGGATGCTCTCAGCCTTGCTGGATGACATGATTACTTTAGTGTTGGAGAGACTAACTGTTTCACCACTAGAATTTCCCCCCCAAAATACATGTAAGATAGACTTACTATCTCGTTATTGCCTCTTGCTATTTTTATGCCTTTGGCAAACTTTTTTTTTTTTTTAATTTTAATTTTAATTTTAATTTTTTTTTTTGCAAACTTTTTATATTTGTTGAACTAATCATTGAGTTCTCACCTAACCAATATCTGTAAGACACTGTGTATACAGATAATAAAAATGATCCCTGCTCTAGATTTTACAGAGGCTTAACACTCATTTGTGTGGCTGTGCCCTTTGGGTCAAGTGGAGGATAGAACCATCCACCCACCCAACTTATATTCCCCTTTCCTCTTCTCTGCCTTAAAATTAGTGACAGCCAAAACATAAAGATAACGGCAGCCCAGAAGAGCCATGGCTGAAGGCATGTTGAAAATCTAAGCAGTCTGACAATAATTACCTGACCCTGGTGGTAAAATCATTGGTGCTGTTGGAATTCTTTTTTCCTATAAACGTTCACTTAGGAACTTTTCACAGTTTAGAATCTCTCTCTTTTAGACTCACGACATTTTTAGATGTACAGCGGTGCCTGGAGTATTTGGGCTATCTGGGCTACTCAATATTGACTGAGCAAGAGGCTCAATCTTCAGCCATTACAAGTAAGTATCAGAATACTCTTCAGCTCCTAATAAGAGAAGTCTTTTAAGGATTCTAGTTTCCTAAGTTTCAAAGGATGAAAATGCAGTCATCTTAATTAATCTTCCATGTCTCCGCTTTCCCCCCCCATTAATTTGGTCATTTCTTTTGGGTCGAGATACTTGATTTTATTTATCAAAAAAGTAAGGATGTCTTGCTTCTATTCAACTCCCTGAGAGCACTCTCCCGATGAAGATGAAAGAGCACTGTGGGCATTAAAAGTATTTACCAGTCCATCTCGCATTTTAATTTCTTTAAATCTTAAAAGCAATTCATATTGAATGGCTAAACCAATTGTGGCATATATGTATGTTGGGATATTATTCAGTTATAAAGAGAAATGAGATCCTGATTCATGCCACCACATGAAGTGACCGTGAACACAGTATGCTAAATGAAGTCAGTCAGTCACACAAGGATAAATATTCTATGCTCCCACTTAACATATGTGGAATATCATACAGTATTTTATTGTATTATCTTTTATAATACTAGAAAACTAGAGAGAGACTAAGGTTTATTAGTGGGTATCAAGTGTAGTAGGGAAAGAGGGTAGGAGAAATCATTGGTATTGAATTAAATACTGCCTAAATGAGTATTTGTTAATGGTGATGGGAACATTGGCAATGGATATGGAAAGATAATTGGATAGCATGACTAATATAATCAGTGCCACTGAATGTTGCATGCAAAATATGTTGAGCTGGCAAATGTGCTACATATATTTTTACTTCGATAAATAAAAATTCATGTTAACAAATGATCCTGTCTTAAGCTAATTGCAAGTCTCTTGATTTTATAATTTTTCCACATTAATAAAATTATACAGGTTTTGTAATGTAAACTATGCATTTTTGCCACAGCAGTGCTCTCCACTTAAAACCCATAGATATGGAAGTAACAAATTAGGGGACTGGTCATTTAAAGATTTTCTTATATTCCAGTTGGTGGGAAAGGTGCCATTTCTTAACAGGAAGTCCTAGCACAAGGAAACAGCCTTTCTGAAACCAACAGAGCAAGTACTCTTTAAAATACTTAACCAGTTAGATAGTACTTAATTCAATACCTAAGAGTTCAAAAATAATTGATCGGGGTGTGGTAGGACTGGGGGCACGGTAAGGCAGGGGGAGAGGGGCGGGGCCTCGAAAAATAAAGAAAATAAATAAATAAAATAATTGCTTGGCAGCCCTGAGATTCTTTTTGATCAATAGCATATTATGGACACTTTTCTGTATCAATAAATATATATTAATGTAAAGTAATGTGACATCATATGGATGTGCTATCATTTATTTAATTATTCCACAACTGCCATTGTTTAATCCCCTTAGTATAGTATCACTCTGTCCCATCTCCTTCCTGTGTTTCCTGTCTCCATTCCTCCTCCTTAGCCCTTCCAAGCTTTGTCCAGAGGCAAATGCTATACCTTGGTCCCACGTGGTCAGTTGTTCTAAGTTATACATAAATCAATGGTGGTGTTCTTCTTCTTTAGACTGGTCAGTCGTCTGGCTGAAAATCGAGCCTTGAGAGAATTCTGTTTCATATCTGAAGAGTGGCCAAGGACCATAGTCTCGGGATTCTACCTGTCTCTATCCGTGCAGCAAGCCTGATTTTCATAATTTTGAGTTTTGTTCCATATCTTTCTCCCACTCTTTCCAGGACCTTCTAATGTGACCCCTTTCAGAGCAGTTGGTAGTGATAGGCACCATCTAGTTTTTCTGTTCTCGGTTCTGGAGACTGATGTTTGTGTGGTCCATTAGTTGGCTGGACTAATCATCTCCAGCTATCTTCAAGGCGAGACCTGTATTACAAGCATTTAAGACCCCAGTCACTCTTCACCAAAGTCGCATGTAGACTTTGTGTGAACCATGTTGTGCTAGTTGACATTGGTGTCCCCTGAGACTGTGAGCCTGATCCTCTGGCCCAGTGGCTCATTCCCTCCAGGTGCCTGGTTATGTCTAAGAAGTTTTCTTAACTTTGTCCTCTGTATGCTCCATCAGCTACATGGATTATATTTGTAACAAAGGTAAATATCCATGTACAAATATCCTGTCTAACCTTTCTGTACATGTACCCCCCCGCCCATTCCTGCTTAACATGCATGTCCCACACATCTACTCATAGATCACCTGTTTTGCAGGATTGTAAACTGTATTTACCTCTATTGCTTTTAAATCCTGCACTCCTCACAGGGTCCTCCCTGACCTCTACTTTTCTTTGCAAACTTCCTTCTTGTTGTATGCCGCCCTTCCTTTCACTAGGTTCTTGAACTCTACTTCACTCCCTCTCCATTTTTACTTTGTAATTGTCTTCATTACAAATCGATATCTCTTGTTCCTTATTTTCAATTTTTGTATGTGTGTTTTACTTTGGACATGTTAACTTTTTTTAAAATAATTTTATTAGGGGCTCATACAACTCTTGTCACAATCCATACATACATCAGTTGTGTAAAGCACATTTGTACATTCATTGCCCTCGTCATTCTCACAACATTTGCTCTCCATTTAAGCCCCCGGCATCAGGTCTTCATTTTTTTCCCCTCCCTTCCCTTTCCTCCCTCCCTCATGAGCCCTTGATAATTTATAAATTATTATTTTGTCATATCTTGCCCTGTCCGATGTCTCCCCTCACCCACTTTTCTGTTGTCTGTCCCCCAGGGAGGAGGTCACATATAGATCCTTGTAATCGGTTCCCTCTTTCCAACTCACTCTCCCTTTACGCTCCCAGTATGGCCACTCACTCCACTGGTCCTGAAGGGATCATCCACCCTGGATTCCCTGTGTTTCCAGTTCCTATCTGTACCAGTGTGTAGCCTCTGGTCTAGCCAGACTTGCAAGGTAGAATTCGTATCATGATAGTGGGAGGGTGGGGGTGGAGGAAGCAGTTAGGAACTAGAGAAAAGTTGTATGTTTCATCGTTGCTGCACTGCACCCTGACCGGCTCATCTCCTCCCCGAGACCCTTCTGTAAGGGGATCTCCAGTGGCCTACAAAGGTTGACTTCTGGGTGGTGTTATCATGTATATTAATCTCAGGTTATTGGTTCTCTGTCCCAAAACTCCCTTTAGTATTTATTGTGAGATTGGTCTGGTTTTGCAAAGTCCTTTCATTTCTGTGCATCTGCAGATGTCCTAATTTTGCCATTATATTTGAGGGACAATTTTGCTTGGTATATGGTTCCTGATTGTCAGTTATTTTTCTTCAAGAGTTTTATATATGGAAATAAAAATTAAAAAATTTTTATATATACCATTCCATTGTCTTCTTCCTGCAAGTTTTCTGCTGACACATCAGAACTTAGTCTTACTGTTTCTCTTTTGTAGATAATGTTTATTTTACGATAGCTGCTTCCAGGATTATTTCCTTGTCTGTTTTGGAATGCTTCATTATGATATGTCAAAAGGATTTTCCTTTGAGGTCTGTCATATTTGGGTTTGGTCAGCTTTGCAAATGCATTTCTTCTCCTCTTTTATAACAGAGGTCCTCAAACTAGGCCCGCAGGCTAAATACGGACCGCCAAGGACATTTATCCGGCAGCCGGGTGTTTTTGCCGATGCTGCCTGTCCTGCTTAGCAGCTGACTCGTCCAGTGTGCATAGGAATTTTTTTTTAAACTATAGTCCGGCCCCTCCAACAGTCTAAGGGACAGTGAACTAGCCCCTGTTTAAAAAGTTTGAGGACCCCTGCTATATAATGTCCACTCACTCACTGCCATTGAGTATTCTGACGCATAGTGACTCGTGGAACAGAGTAGAAGTCCTGCGGGTTTCTGAGAGTATAAAAATTTTTTTTTCTTTTTGGAGATTAAATTTTACATGAGTAGAAAGCCTCCTCTTTCTCACTTGTTAGGGAAGTTTTTTCCCAACAATTCTTCAAAAATGATTGCTTTTTTTTTTTAGTTTTTTCTGTTCCGGAATTCGTTACACCTAAGTTCTTCCTCTTGATTGTGTCCAACATAATTCTTAAGTTTTCTTTGAATTTTTTTATCATTTTATTGAGGGGGTCATACAGCTCTTACCACAATCCATGCATACATCAATTGTGTAAAGCACATTTGTACATTTGTTACCCTCATCATTTGCAAAACATTTGCTCTCCATGGAAACCCCTGGCATCAGCTCCTCATTTCCCCCCCCCTCACTCCCCGCTCCCCCCACCCTCATAAACCCTTGATAATTTATAAATTATTATTTTGTCATATCTTACACTGTCTGACATCTCCCTTCACCCACTTTTCTGTTGTCCATCCCCCAGGGAGGAGGTTCCATGCAGATCCTTGCAATCAGTTCCCCCTCTCTACCCTCCCCTCCTTCAACCCTCCCAGTATCGCCACTCTCACCAGTGGTCCTGAAGGGATCATCCATCCTGAATTCCTTGTTTCCAGTTCCTATCTGTACCAGTGTACATACTTTGGTTCAGCCAGGTTTGTAAGGTAACATTGGGATCATGATAGTGGGTGCGAAGGAAGCATTTAAGAACTAGAAGAAAGTTGTATGTTTTCTTGTTGCTACACTGCACCGTGACTGGCTCGTCTCCTCCCTGCGACCCTTCTGTAAGGGGATGTTTAGTTGCCTGCAGATGGACTTTGGGTCCCCACCCCACACTGATATGATTTTTTGTTCTTTGATGCCTGATACCTGATCCCTTCAGCACCTTGTGATCACACAGGCTGATCCATGTGGGCTTTATTGCTTCCGAGCTAGATGGCTGTTTGTTTACCTTATCTTTGAAATTTTTTTCCTTTGTATTTTTTTTGGCTCTTTTTGCTTTATTGTTTCTAGCACAGTTTTCCCTGAAGTGGATGACACCTCCCCCTGGAAGGCATGGGAATTATTAGAAAGGGGGGTGGGGGGGCAGCTGCACATGAAAGCAGATGCCAACACTTTATTCTGGGTAGGTAATGGTAGGGCTGACCACATTTCTGGTCATCAGGAAGAACCCACCTTATCAGGCATGAATGTGCATTTGTGAAAGGCCACTGTTGCTAATGCTGCTTTTAAAAGTTCAAGATAGCAGCACTATGTCAGACCAAACAACAATTAACCTGTCTGACTCCTTTCTGGCCACTTTTGTTCATCTTTCTCAAATTGATATGGAATCCACTTCTCTCTTCTTAACCCCGAATCTTAGGGTTCCATGATTATCATCTTTATCTTTTCATTGGGCCTCTCATGTCCTTGTAGAGGATCTGTGTAGTGTGTCTGCCTACTTTGTAATCTTGCATGAAGTGTAATTACTGTGTATAGTTACAATTTTCAGTGCGTTTGGTGAGATTTCTGTAGTTTAATCTGTGGGTCCAGCTTAAGGGAGGTCTGTTTACTGCAGGTAGAGAGGTGCCCCATTATCTGGATGACACACCATAGTTTTTAATCTGTCTTTATAGATTTACATTCAAAAGACCAATTATCCTAGAGAGCACATCCTTTTTCAGTTTATACATCCAGCTCCAACTGAATGCAGATTTGACACAGCAGATTTAGTATGTAACTTTTTAGGTTTACCCTCGAAAAAATAGATGGGCTAAAATATTGACTATATTCATGTCATTGTTGTTATTCATTATTCACTATCATTTTCCTTAGGAAAAATAGACTTATGATGAAATAAGTATAATTTGATTACTAGAAATTTTCTTTACAGCCAACTTTCAGAACTGTATCTTTTCCATTACACAGGGCCCTTCTGTATTATACAAGGGGTAGTCCCCCCAAGCAAAATGGAAAAAAAGTTCTGCTGGGCGGAGCTTTCGTAGAAATGCATGTTTCCCACTAGGCGAGCCTGGAGCAACTTGCTCAGTTAGTACACCCAGTGGTGTCACCTGGGAATGTTCTCTCTGGGCACAGTTATTTTTTTTCATTAAAGCAGTTAAGCTTGAACCTCATTTTTTGGTGGTGGCCTATTTAAGAGAATAGTGTGTGGCTGTGAAATTTTGCTTCCTGCTCGGGAAAAATGCTGCAGAAACTGTTGTGACATTGAACACAGCTTACAAGGACAGCCCTATGGGGAAAACTCAAATGTAGGAGTGATGTCCTCGTTTCAAAAAAGGTGAAATGTTGATTGACTACAAACATCATTCTAGACATTTGTCAACTTCCCGAATGAATGAAAGTATCAACAAAATTCATACACTTGTGCTCAAAGGCCAAGGACGACAGACCATTGAAGAGATGGGGAAGTTACCTGGACTTTCTTGGAGCTCAGTTCAGAGAATTTTAATGGAAGATTTTGGAATGAGAAGGGTTGTTGTTAAATTTGTGCCTCAGGTTCTGACTGACCAGCGGAAAGAGCATCAAGTGGAAACATGCTGCGCTTTGAAAGAACTGCTCCGAAGCATGGTCGTTACTGGTGACGAGACTTAGTGCTAGTCTTTTTTCCTGCCTTTTTCCTTACCACCCCGAAAGTAAATATCAAGCCAGTGGAAGACACCATTATCACCTCCCCTCAAAAAACTTGTCAAGTGAAATCAAAGATCAAGACCATGCTCATTGTTTTTTTGATGTGAGAGGATAGTGTATTTGGAGTATTTTCCACCATGTAATACTGTTAATCAAGCTTCTCTTTAGAGGTTCTGAAAAGATTGCATAATATTGTGTGACAAAAAAGGCCTGATTTGTGGCAGACGGGACTGGTTTTGCCACCACCACAATGCACCTGTGCACACAGCCATCTGAGTGCACCAGTTTTTGGCAAAAAACAGGATGCCTCTCATTTTGGGGAGCAAACGAGCCAGTCAGGGTGCAGTGTAGCGATGATGAAACATACAACTTACCTCTTGTTCTTAAATGCTTCCTCCCCCTTCACTATCATGATCCCAATTCTACCTTACAAATCCCACTAGACCAAAGGATGTACACTGGTACAGATAGGAACTGGAAACACAGGAAATCCAGGACAGATGATCCCTTCAGGGCCAGTAGTGAGAGTGGCGATATCGGGAGGGTGGAGTGAGGATGGGGTGGAAAGGGAGAACCGATTGCAAGGATCTGCATGGAAACTCTTCCCTGGGGGATGGACAACAGAAAAGTGGGTGAGGGGAGACCTCGGATAGTGTAAGATATGACAAAATAATAATAATTTATAAATTATCAAGGGTTCATGAGGGAAGGGGGAGCCGGGATGGAGGGGAAAAATTAGCTGATACCAAGGGCTCAAGTAATAAGCAAATGTTTTGCGAATGATGAGGGTAACAAATGTACAAATATGCTTTATACAATTGATGGATGTATGGATTGTGATAAGAATTGTATGAGCCCCTAATAAAATGATTATAAGAAACACAACAGGATGTCTCTCTTGCCCCACGCACCTTACTCACCTGACTTCACTTTTTGCTACTCCTTTTTGTTTCTGTGAATGAAGAGGGACATGAAAGGACAGACATTTCATGACATAGAAGAGGTGAAGAAAAAATGAGGGAGGTGCCTTCCAAACAGATGAGTTTGAAAAAATGTTTCCAAGAATGGAATCACAGATTTGACAAATGTATTAAGTGTAATGGAGAGTACTTTGAAGGTGATAAGGTTGTTTCGTAAAAAAGATTGTATACATAGCTTTGAAAAGATATTTGGTCTGGGGGTAGGGTGGGGTGGGGGGAAAGAAAAAAAAAGATATTTGTTTTTTTTTTTGTCTATCCTCTCATACTTCGTACTTTATTTTATGTACAAGCTTGACTTGTACAATACATTAGTTATATGTCATACACTTAAGAAACATGATAAATAGTAATACTGTATTTTGCAGAAAGTAAATTGAGTGCATCTAACTGAAACAAACTTGGTGGTGTCTCCCCCCATTTAGTAACAAGAGACAAAAAGATAGACCTACAGAAACATGATAAATAGTAATACTGTATTTTGCAGAAAGTAAATTGAGTGCATCTAACTGAAACAAACTTGGTGGTGTCTCCCCCCATTTAGTAACAAGAGACAAAAAGATAGACCTACAGAAGAAGCAGACGCAGAGGAATGTCTTCAGATGTAATGTAATTGGGGTGAAAAGCTGTGGGAAAAGTGGAGTCCTACAGTCTCTTCTTGGAAGAAACTTAATGGTGAGAGTTCTCAGATAACAAAACATTTTTATAATCTGTGTTTAGGTCATTTTTTCTTAGCTAGTGACTAGAAGTCATTGGCCTACACATCTTATTAAAACACTATCACGAAGTCTATTATGTAGCAGTAATCTTGTTGAGCTATCTTTATCTTCATTTCATTGGCATTAGCTGTCACTTGTTGTTTTCTTACCTGGTGTTTAGATGGGGATTAAACAAATACGCTTGTTCACGTAAAAAACACAGTGTTTTACATGAAGTACTGTATTTACTTGAGTATAAGCTGACCCAAATATCAGCTGAGGCACCTAATTTTAACCACAAAAACTGCATTAAAAATGTGCTGAAAAACTCGGCTTGTACACAAGTATACACGGCAAATGCATAGTAAATACTAGGTATCGTATTCACTGAAACCTGGTTCTGACTTCTGCTTTGAGTCAGCAGCCTGACGTATTTCCACATGACAGCAGGACAAATTAGAGTGTAATAAGAGTTGCCAGTAGGTGGCTCTGGGGTACACGGTCACCAATAACATATTCATCTTTTGTCTCAGACCCTGAGCAATAAGAAATATAAAATCAGGATGCCCTTTTTACTGACAAGTAGTATGTTGTAAAGGGAAAAATACCCTTTTAATTTATAATGAGCACTAGTGGTGTGTGTGTGTTGATGTAAATTATGTCGCTTTTATTTCTTACTGTACATGTTGAGATTTTTTTGTTCTGTTTTCAGAGGCAGAAGAAAATTCGAGATGATCATAAATCTTACTATGCAATTAATACTGTCTATGTATATGGACAAGAGAAGTATTTGTTGGTAAGAAATGTTCTGACATACAAAAATTGTTAATTATTGGGTACATTTGTAAATGAATAGAGGCTTTCTAGCTTATTTGTTAGCATCAATTATAATTTTTGACCTATCAGGTGATGACATGTGGCTTTATACAAGGTTCTTCAGAAAGTTCATGGAAGAAAATCTATTATCTTTTAACTCCACGTTTTCCTGAATTGTTTGTGGACTTAACTTTATGTAAGTTACACCTCAAGAAGAAAGTTTTTGCCCTTTCTTACATTTTTATTTTAAAAATTATTTTCTCCACAACTGACTAGAAATTAATATGGAATGGTCAGTGCAAGTGCTCAGTAGTTTACCTATGTAACCTGAATAGGGTTTTATCTGTTTGATAGAGGCTGGATACATAGTTAGCTCATACAATAGCCTGAAAAATGACTGAAAGAAGGGTAGGACTGAGAAGGTACTACGGAATACAGAAGAGATTGCATACTTTCCTTGGATCCAGTCAGTTTTCAGTTTGAACTTTCGTCTTCTCATTGCTTCTCCCTGTGACCTTGGACAAATGACGTGTGCTATCTGAACCCAAGTATCTTATTAAGTTGGCTTGCATCAGAAACGTCTGGCAAATAAAAGTTACTAAAAGAAAAAAAATCCATTCCTTTTCCTGGTCTTTTAGACATGGTTTAATCTGTCAGTCAGGTGAATTTTATATGCATTTGATACTTTATGATCAAAGCTCCTTGGTAGTTTCTTACTATCTCTGCTGCTTCTTTTATAAGTATGGTTCTACACATTGGGTCAAACTCATTGCCACTGAGTCCATTCCAACTCATGGTAGACCAATAGGACAGAGTTGAACTGCTCCTTAGGGTGTCAAGACTGTAAATCTGTACCTGAGCAGACAGCCTCATCTTTATACTTTAGAGCTACTGGAGGATTTGAACCACTAACTTTGAGGTTAGCAGCCCAATGTTTAACCCACTCAACCCACTGTGTCACTAAAGTGCTGTACACATAGGGTACTAAGTAAATATTAAACTGTTAATTTTCCTGTTTTCTTACCCTGAGCCTATTCTTCACAAACTATCTCGAAATATATGGTGTGCATTATTTTATTTGAAATGCATTGAATTCCTTTCTGATTTTACATTTCCCCTTTCTTCTTCTTAACAAAAATGCAGTCTTAGACAAATCGGTATGGAATTTTTCTCTTATTAGAATACTTTCACCAAAAAAAAAAGAATACTTTCATATCATAAATTTTGAAAAGTGATTTTGTAATATGACCTGGAAAAGAATAGGCAGTGAGGTAGAACAAAATGACCTTCAAGTACAGAGCTACTTGCTTTGTGTATTTTATCAGTGGGAGAAAAGGTGGAAGAAAGAAAATAGTCTTGGGAATCATATCTGAGTTCCAAGTTTGATCCAGGAAATTGTTATGAGTGTTATATTAGGCAACTTACTACTCTCACTGTGTGTGTTTCCTTATCTGTAAAATGTGCATCATGTTTATTAAATGCCTACCTGGCACACATGAGTCACTCACTGAAAGTTAGCTTCTTTAGAACCTTAGTCACTCATTTTAAACTACTGAATCAGAAGCCACCTGTTCATCTGTACTTCCTTCTTTAAAAAGATGGATTTCAAAAGTATAGTCAACTAGTATCCTTTTAACAGGAAATCAAATTAACAAGTACTGAAGCATCATGACTTTACACATGGCTGTTAATAGTACTTCGTTTTCTCATCAATATTTTCTTTTTCCAAGTTGCATGATATCTCGGAATCGGAATTTCTCACTGAAGCTGAGATCATTTGTGATGTTGTGTGCCTGGTATATGACGTCAGTAATCCCAAATCCTTTGAATACTGTGTCAGGATTTTTAAGGTTTGTTTCTCTTATGTTCTTGGGCTAAATCTAACTTTATATGGAGTTTAGTGGCATTGTAATGTGTTGTTTCCTAACCGAGGAAAGGCAACAGAGTCATTTTTGTAACTTTTAAAAACTGTCTGGTAAACTGGCATTCTGTGATGCTCACCTTCCCAACATGATTGCTGAAGTTTACAAAGCGGTGCATAAGCAAATGTGAAGAAAGCTGATGGTGCCCGGCTATCAAAAGATAGAGTGCCTGGGGCCTCAAAGGCTTGAATATAAACAAGCAGCCATCTAGCTGAGAAACAACAAAGTCCACATGGAAGAAGCACACCAGCCTGTGTGATCATGAGCTGTCGATGGGATCAGGTATCAGGCATCAAAGAACAAAAAATTGTATCATTGTGAATGAGGGGGAGTGTGGATCTGTAGGCAACTGGACATCCCCTTACAGAAGGGTCGCGGGAAGGAGGCAAGCCAGTCAGGGTGCAGTGTAGCAACGAGGAAACATTCAACTTTCCTCTAGTTCTTTAATGCTTCCTCCCCCTGCTATCATAATCCCAATTCTACCGTACAAATCCTGCAAGACCAGAGGATTACACTGGTACAGACAATAACTGGAAACACAGGGAATCCAGGACAGATGAACTCCTCAGGACCATTGGTGAGAGTGGTGATACCAGGAGGATGGAGGGAAGGTGGGGTAGAAAGGGGAAACTGATCACAAGGATCTGCATATAACCGCTTCCCTGGGGGGCAGACAACAGAAAAGTGGTGAAGGGAGATGTCAGACAGTGTAAGACATGACAAAATAATAATAATTTATAAATTATCAAGGGTTTGTGAGGGAGGGGAAGGTTCGGAGGTTGGGGAAAAATGAGCTAATACCAAGCTCAAGTAGAAATTAATGTTCTGAGAATGATGATGGCAACAAATGTGCTTGACACAATGGATGTATGTATGGATTGTGATAAAGCGTTGGAGGAATCCCAACCCTGCAGATTCTGAAGTGGCAAAATCCCAGACCTCTCAATTTTTTAAAAGAAATCCACAAGCGATGCTGATGATTCTGATATAGACCCGCTACATCAGAGGTTCTCAACCTGTGGGTCATGACCCCTTTGTGGGAGTCAAATGACCCTTTCACAGGAGTTGCCTGGTTTATAACAGTTGCAAAAGTACAGTGATGTAGTAGCAACAAAAATAATTTTTTGGTTGGGGGAGTCACCACAAGATGAGGAACTGTATTAAAGGGTCACGGCATGAGGACGGTTGAGAACCACTGCTTTGCAAGCATGAAGGCCGCCTTGCCTGTTAGGAATGCATGTGGGTTGTATATAGCCAATTATACCCCCCAAAAACAAAAACAGCAAACCAGGAGACAAACCATCATTCTGCGAACATTGACCAGGTTTTATAAGCAGAATTAATTAAGCCTCCGTTGAATTCCCTCTCCAATGACTGAGGATGTGAAAAGTCTTGTCAGTGCATTGGAAAGTGCATTACTGTAGCTATTGTTAGGTTAAAAATTAACATCTTACCATTTGTTTTCCATTTTTACCTTATTCTAGGTTTTACTTTCTGCTTTCTTTTGGATTGAGATATTTCTCTGTTTCATTGTGTTGTTGTTGGGGACGGTTTGTGTGTTTTGGCATGATTTTCTTAATATGAAATCCAGGATAGGTAAATCTAAAAGAGGCAGTAACTAGATTAATAGTTTCTAAGGTAATAACAGGGGGGATTGGGAGAAAATGGGGAGTTATAATACTAGATCTCAAAATGAAGAAAATGTTCTAAAATTAATTATGGTGATTGTACAACTCTGTAATATGTTAAAAGTTATTGAATTGTATGGCACATGAATTGTATATCAATATAACTGTAAAAAAGGATTCAATAGGAGTGCAAGACTTTATTTAAGAGCATATTCTAGCATGGTTTTAATAGAAAAAGTATTGGAAATAATCTAAATATGTAACAATAGGAGAACAATTTACTAAACTAAGATAAACTAATCCAGTGGAATATTAAAACAACCATTGAAAATAATAGTTTTTAATTCTGAAGAACATGGAAGATGCAGCATTATGGTTTAAAAGAGTATGTTTAGCCTGACTTTACTTACATATACACATTTAAATGTATGTGTTCAAGGACAAAAGGTGTACTCTGAAAAAATGCACATAGTCTTCTTGTTGAGCAATTTAGGTTCATTTCTTTTCATGTCAAAATTTTTATTGTGACTTGTTAAAACCACATTTTTTCCCAGTTGTCGTGAATCTGAAGTGTCAGTATAGATCTACCTTGTTACCATCATAAGGAAAACAGTCTCCAGGTCATAAGTATTATGTGAGACTGACGGGGACCACTGTCCATCTGGGGTATTTGCTTTCTTTCTTGAAATTTGTTGCTTTGCCCATCCAGAAAGAATTTTTGTCAAATGTAATTGCCATCAGATTTTTATCGTATTTCTTTATTACACAGCAACACTTTATGGACAGCAGAGTACCCTGCTTAATCGTAGCTGCAAAGTCAGACCTGCATGAAGTTAAGCAAGAATGCAGCATTTCACCCACTGACTTCTGCAGGAAACACAAAATGCCTCCACCACAAGCCTTCACCTGCAACACTGCTGACGCACCCAGTAAAGACATCTTTGTGAAGCTGACGACAATGGCCATGTACCCGTAAGTACTGGCTCTGTCTTCATTTTTCTCGCATGGTTCATGATGACATTGCATGCCCTTAGCCTTGAGCGTGGAATCTTTGTCACATAGCAGTTGTTTAGCAACAGAAAGAGATTTTGTGATGAGAAGATACAAATTTGAATAACTATCCGTTTGGCTTGGGTGTCACAGTAAGATGATAGAAACAGTACTTCTGACAATACTTGAATATTATTGAGCAGGTTATTGTTATCTTTATAGGCTATTACAACAAAAGAGCCCTCCCTCACCCCAGGCAAAAAACTAAAAGAAAAACATCTTATTGAAATAAATGAGGGTGGTATTATGTTGTTTTATATTTATAAGGTACTCCCATATGAACAACAAAAATATTTTAAGTTAACCTCGAGTATGTAAAGGATTCTAAATGCTTTGTGAATTTCTTTTTAAAATGTTGGTGTTTTAGTTCAGAATATATTATTTACATGCTGTAAAAGCTGGTTATAATTGGAATTCCTGCTTTTTAAATGTTTTGCATTGTGTTGTGAGCCACAGATTTCATGTACATTTATTATATCTATACATGCCTATGCGTAAGCACGTCACTGCAGCCATCTGCGTAGTTTACTGACTGCCTTAAAGTCTCACGCTTCTTAGTGGCATTCTCTGAAGTAGCGTGTTTGTGTAAATTCTGCTTTGTAACAAGACGGTTTCTCAGGCAGTGCGTTTCTCAAGACTTTATAGTTTATTCTATTTATTATTATGTTAGTCTCTAAATTATTTTATTCCTTATGAAAATTGCAGTGTAAAATACAAGTAATGATAACACATTGCTGTAAGCCAAGCTTGAGGTTTCTAAAGAAAGGTATTAATTTGTACAGATTTTTTCAGTCAGAGTTACCATATATACTTGTGTATAAGCTGAGTTATTTTCAGCACATTTTTCATGCAGTTTTCTGGTAAAATTAGGTGTGTCAGCTGATATTCTGGTCGGTTTGCACGCGAGTATTTACTGCTATTCAATTAACGAATACTTTTTTAAACTTCAGCAAGCCCTTGAAATTCTATCAGTAAAATAATTGGAAGACAAGTCATTCCTATTACTATGATAAGCGAAACCTTATTTCTACTTTCCTGTTGCTTTAAAACTCTCGTGTATGTTATCTACAGAGAGGATCATTACAGACACAGACTCTTCCAAGACATGGGCAACACTGATAGAATAGAGAATTTGAGAAAAATCTGGGTCTTTCTAAAAACCGCTTTGTAAGTTACTTTTTCTTTATGGCTTCTATGGGATTTTGTTGGAATTTTCTTAGAGGATTACCAAATCTTCTTTCCTGGCATAATTATTGTTTACGTAATTATCCAGAAACGCACTGCTTGGTCAGGCTTACTGCCTAACTACATATTATGGTGTCTAATTTAATGTGTAAATGTGCTGTTATAATCTTCTATATAACTGCAACTATGTTCACATATAAAGCTGCAGCTTTAAAATATCTTACTGTAATTCTTGTTTGTGTGTGTGTGTGTTTTGTATGTATATGATAAATGTACATACATGGACGTTTATTTCTATGATTAGAACCAAACTACTTCTCATGACGCATCTCCCTGTTGCTAAGCATACTTTGCACCTCTCCTTTTTGTTGGGTGGAGCCTTGTGTATGTTGAAGAGTCAGAATCAATTTATCAAATAACAGATGGATTCCAGTATGACAGCTGGCAGTGATTTAATAGTAGTAATAATACTCATCATTACAAGTCAAACTTTAAAAAACAATGTCTTGAGCCTGTCAAAGAGTTTTTTAAAAATTAATTCTTGTTTCTCTTCATGTTGGGAACGAGGCATTATTGGGATGCTGCTAATCTCCACAACCATGCTACCGTGTGCTGTGGTCTCATCAGATCTCACAAACTAAGCCAAACCAGAATGGGTCAGTCCTTTTGACTGAGAAGTCTCTAAAAATATTCAGGTGTTACAAGAAGTGGTGGCCTTGATTCCACAAGAGAAGCCAAGTCAGATTGGGCCAGTCCTTTGAAAAGTCTCTAAAAATGGTCAGGTGTTGCTTCCTGAGGTGGCGCTCTTCTGACTGGGTGCTGCACCAGGACCTCTCCCTGTGTGGTGTGATGGCTCTCACCACTGGCAGCCCTTGAAGACCCACACTTTGGTTGTTAGGGCCGAGGTGAAATGTCCCACGAGCCGGCAACAACTAGTGGACCTCCACTCAACCAGAAAGGAGTCAGAAAGACTCCCTAAATTTCATACCTAATTTCAGTTGGGTCACTGTTGATTTTCACATCTGTGCTCAGAGTTTCATACTTAGCTGCTGGGTTTTGGTAGCAGATGAAATTAACCCTGTATTTCATTCAAGTGAAAATTTATGAAGCACTTTGCTTTCCTTTGGGAGTCAGGGTGCTTGATGAATTAAAGACGATGTTGTTCATATCTCTTCAGGGTTGAATATACTCGTCTTTTGACTCTTTTGTGTATTTGCCACCCTTCTCCTTCCTGGTTTCAGGCATGAATGTATACTGAGAGAGGAGGAGGAGAGAGTAGTTATTTAAATGTTAGCAAACTTTGTCTTTTGGTGGGATACTATAGCTTAGTCATTTAAGGGGGAAAAAAGTTATGATTTGAAAGATGGTGCTATCCATCGCTGTGCATATTCCACCAAAACTTGCAATAATAATTCCTTCCCCACCTCCAGAAGCAAGTGTTAGCCAATTTTCTTGAAGGAGGGAGGAGGGAGCTATTACTGTTTTATTAAGTTTTTTTAATAACATGGAATTATGCACAGTGTTAGCATGCTCCACACTCTCCTTTTTACGAAAAGTATCGCTTATGCATAAATCTTTTTTTTTTTAAGTTGGCACATCCTAACTTGTGCCATATTTGTAAGTAAGAACTCAACTCCTGTCCTTCTGTGTGTTTTCACAGCCATGCCCGGTTACGCTGTATGTGCACCTGCAACAGGTGTACATTTTGCATCTGTCAGAACTTCCTCAACTCAGACTTGCTGCAATCTGTAAAGAACAAAATCTTCACCGCAGTTCTTAACAGGTTCTTAACTTTATTTACTGGGTACCAGGCATTCTGTTAAAATACAAAGGAAAAAGTGGCTAACTATTTATTACACAGATGCTCGTTTCAAAGTCTGCAAGCCAACTGATGCCCAACTTATGTTCCACTCAAATTCTCACTGTGATGACAATGTTTAGTTTTGGAACTCCCCCTTAGTAATGTTTTATTTTTTTAATTAATAGGTATGGTTAAGGGGCTATAATTAGATTTTAGATAGTTTTTCATTAAGGGACATGAAATTTTTTAGCTCTGAGTTGTAGAAATAGGATGCTTGTGCAAGGAAAAGACACCGGGATCTCAGTTAAAACATATTGTTGTAATTTATCCAGCTTACATTCAAATATTACACTCTACTAAAACCATACTAATGTTTTATGGTATTTTACTAATAGATTACTCGTGTTTGGGCTTTGGAACAAAATTCTATGTTCTTAAAACCACGTATTTACCAAGAACTTACGGTGTTCATTTGAAAGAATGGCTTCTGGGAATGGGGATCATAGCCCATTGTAAGAACTCAAACTGATGAAGACGAGACCCCCACCAGCTGCTGTGCAGAGGAAGCTGCGGCTGCTGCTCCTGTGAACACTGAGTCTCTGGACGCTAAGATAGTTCTGCTGTGCCCACTCAGGGTTGCTGTGGGTCAGAACCAACGCGACTGCAGTGGCCGTGGGGTGACTAACGCCAGCTACACCAGTTTTTGAAGTCTTTATAATTGAGCCCCAAATAGAAAGTATGCCTATAGATTAGTTAACTTTGCGGGGGGGGGGAGTACAACAAAACCAAAATTATATAAATTTCTTCCAGGTAATGAACTTGGAAGGTTACATTCTGCTTCTAGTAGTTATGCCTTCTTTGTTCACATCAGTGTTACATTTTTGAGCATTTTAGAGCCCATGTAATATTAATTTGTATCTGATATCAAATTTTTATGTATCTAAAGATGAATTAGGTTTTTGAAATCAATTAGATGTCATTGGGAGCTAGACTTGAAGAAGATGGAAGATGAGCTAAATAATAGATTTAGGTTGGAAATGGGTTATTTTCATTCACCATCGAATACTCCCTGACTAGCTAGACACTGATTGTACCAGGTAGATAGGAGAGCTTGTAGCCACTAGTAGTGTGTAGATATGCTTATGAAGCAATGAGACTGTGGCTTATGTCAAGTTAAAAACAGATTTTGAGGCATTCTAAAAAGGATTTGGGAGATGCTCTGAGCATAGCAGTCCGTGAAGTAAGAACCGGCTGTCCAGGGTGACCGCTGTGATGGGATCACCACGCACACTTGGTGGTTAAGTTCTTTCCCTTGAATGGAATCTAGTAAAGTGGTAATGCCAGGCATTCTCTCATGATGACTGATGAATAACGCAAGGCTAGTTCAAACCAAACAATACTCAGGAGCTCTGGTGTGGGAATCTTTGAGCTGGGAACGATTCTGGGATTCTTCTGGCCCAGATTTCAGTAGAATGCCTTCTGCAGCCTTCCTGAGAGAGTGCCATTTATCTACGAAACCTTTCCTTAGTAGAGAGGGCTTTTGTAGTTGCTTTTCTTTTTAACTGTAATATTTTCCCTAAACTTTCTCTCCTTTAGTTTTACCTCTGCCCTTTAGAACAACATACGGCCATTCTACTCCCTCTTCAGCATAGCACTCCTTCAGACAGTTGAAGACGGCCATCATGTCTCCCCTAATTTCTCTTCTTCAGGTAGAACATCCCCATTTCTTTTCAGCCTTGTCTTAAATTGGATGGTTTAGTGCCCTCATCACCCCGGCTGTCCTCGTCTGGATGCCTCTCAGGTCTCCAGAGTGCCTCTTAGAAGGTGGCCCTGAGAATGGAGAATGAGGCCCCGGCTTTGGTCTGACGAGTCCAGTAGGACCGTGCCTGCCGACTGCACAGGTGAACCCACACGCCCCTCTCACGCATTAAATTGAACTCAATTTAAAACTTTTCACAAGAAGTGCTATTAAGTCAAGGCGTCCCTTCTCTAGTGTATGTTTGACATTTTTAGTTGATTTGTTGAATCTAGGTGCAGGAATATAATGTATCCCTATTAAATGTCATATTCTTCCTTTGGATCCTTTTGCTCTAGCTCATTTCAAACATCATTTCTATCACGTGTCCCGTAATATAGCTGTCCTAGTATTGTATTATTTGCAAACTTTATAGCTATGCCTAATTCATCTCTCAAGCTCCTGTGTATAAATAGCATTGAACTCTCAGCGACTGGTGAGAAAGAGCAAGAACGTGCAGAGGGAAAGCCCTGTCGTATGCCACTGGGGTTTGGCAAAGGCTCGAGACTGGAGAGAAATGTCTTTCTCAATTAAAAATATATTATTCTCCAGCCTACATTTTATCTTTCTGTCAAAGTGTTAATGAAAGATTTTTGCTTTTGAAATCAGTGTATGATTTCTACCACATTCCTGTGGCCTCCCATTGTAGTGTTTGTTTGTTTTTTAATCTAAATAGGAAATGACATCTTTCTGGTGTCTTATTCCTCCTCGGAGAATCCGTAGGTCCTAGAAACTGCTGCTCACAAGCCACTTACTTTGTCATTCCAGGTGTTCTTCACTGTTCAGGCCTGCAGATCGATTCATTGTCTGCATCTTTAGTGACAACAATTTTATTCGTAGGTCAGTTTAGTTAGCTTCCAAATGAAATGAAGGTGTGTGTGCATTAAATGGATCTGCTTGCTCATAGCAAATGACTGTGTTATACAGTGCTTCTTTAAGATATGTCAGTCCATTTGTCATGTCTATTTATATACTGGAAGTCATTTAATGGTAATGTCAGCACATGTCATTGACATACTCATCAAGGATGGAAATAGTGAAAAAGATGAAGCAGAAAACCAGTGGCTCGTTCAAAGAACTCCTTGCAGATTCCTACCTGATAGAAGTGTGGTAGAATTTAAGGGGTTCTATATTGACATTTTCCAAATGGCTGTAGATAAGTAGGCGATGGCAGGGGCCCAGAAGTCATGGCCTGTAGGTTCTGGTTGGATAGTGTTAAAGAATTGTATATAAAATAAGGACAATAAGGAAATAAGGCCAATTGTTGGGAAGGAGTCTATGAGACATGGCAAACCAGAATTTTTATTTGAAATTTAAGTAATGGAAGCTAATCTTAAAATGTTTGTAATGCTAAGCAGAGTAAACAGCACGTTGAGGTCACCGTAAGGTTTGATCTAGAGTTGTGAGCATAAGTGACCTCCCAACACCCTACCAAAAAGAAGATATCCTAGATGGAAAAATATGCCCTGTCCCTCAACATTTTACTCATTTCCCAAGAAAACGTTGGGGTGAGAAAAGAACTTCATTCTCTGTTATTTGGGAGGAGTTTTCACCTCTTTGGTGTCAGCATCTCCTGGTGGTTGCTCACCAGGTTTCCTGTGCTAGACTTAATCCTAATGTGACATGATCAGATCAAGAGGGATTAACTCAGTCAGTGAAAGTCACTTAAAAAAATTCTCACTGTGTTTCAATAGGGAAGAGTCCCACTCAATGCTCTCTTAAGTCTTTGTTTTTAGAAATCATAAATGCCATATCTAGTGTTTGATTTAGAGCTCTAAAAGAACAACACTAGCCTGCTTGTCATTTCTATTTAAATAAAATTTCACTAAATGTGTGTGAAGACCAAATTTATCAGAATCTCAAACTCAGTGACAATGAGTTTATTTTTAGGCTCTGCTGATCTCACATTAGCACCTTATTTTAGTGACTTGTGAAACACTTAGTCACTGAAATGGAAGTCACTTCCAGAGATGATAAATGTTGGCAGCCATGTTCTCCCTCTTCGTGGGCCCCTTCCCCCACCTCAGTTTATTCATTCAGAATATTTAATGACCTACCATGGATGGGAACTCGCTGTGAGCTAGGGCAGAATGTGATGGTGAAGACGATAGGTACCTACTTTTCAGTACCTTTCTAAATACTGCAGCAGCTGACGTTTTTTGTTCAAATCTCTGGTTTGATGTCAGTGACTGTAGTCCCTCGTGCTAAAAGGAAAAGTGCTATGTAGCCAGCTCATGATAAGGCTTGAGACTAATTCATTTCTACTTCTCCCATTTCAACAGAGTCATTTCTGAAATTACTCATTTCCCCCCATCACACACCAGAAAAGATTGGCTTTTTTTCTTGAGCTTTTTTATGGATACTATATAGTTTAAATAGAAACTTGTAATACATTTTTCTTTCCCATGTAATTGAATGTGAACTGACTTCAGCATTTGAAAGTAGCATACATATCTCACATACAAATTTATTCTTTGATAATTATGATCCCACACTCAAATCTGGGGGTAGGCTCCTGTTTTCTTTTGAAAAGCTTATAAATAACTAGAATTATTTGAAGAATGAGTAGCACGTGGTCAGATGAATTTAGCGTGTGAGACTTCTCATTTCAAATAATGTAAGCCATGTGACTAGGAATAAGTTACCTTTTGGATATATTTTCATTTAAAATATATATATTCTGCCACATTCACATGATTATTCATATTTTTTTCATCCAAAAGTGGCAAAATGGTGATGCTGGCTTGAGTGTGGTTGTTGGTTTGAACTACCCAGGGTTTTAAGTCTGTATTGCTCCAGGCTCAGGACCCGCTGCTCTGTGCATGAGAATGCTGCTACTGCAGTGCACTGTGACTTTTCACTCCGTCCTTTCCTTAAGTGTTCATCTCACTTCGTTTGTTACTCTCACGGAGTCACTCTTTCTAACTCCTCCGTCCCTTTCCAAGCCAGGCTTCTGTGTGAATCCTCCCACCTCCCATCCTGAAATTTAATCACAACCGGTTTATTTTACATTTACCATCCTGGTGTGTTTTACTTTGGTGCATACTTTGGCATCGGATTTCTTGCGTTTTGTTATTTGCATTAGCCAGCTCAAGTCTGTGTGCGGCTGACCTCTTAGGTTTGGTGGCATCGTTTGACTCCAGCATGCACGCACATCATTCACTCTGAGTTGTAAAAGAGATGCCCAGGTATGATGGGCAGTCAACATTCTTATTGTAGCTGTTACCGTGTTTTTTACATGTCATTTTAAAATTGAATGTACATGACATTTATATTAAACCATTTAACGTACTTCGTTTGTCCCTGTGACTGTTAACTGCTTTAATAACCACCCAAACTCCCTTTTCTGCAGTTTAAAATCATGTTACTTAATATAAAAGCCCTTTGTTGAAGAAAGGGTCTTACTGTCTCAGACCAACATGAACTGCTCTTACATAGAAATCTGATGTTACGGCGATTCTGTTGGGAACCTAAGAAGGATTCTTAAAGATGTTAATAAAATGTGTAGTTTAGGAAGTCCTGTGTTGTAGTTTCATATAAAACTTGTACATTTCTTTGTAGAAAGGTTCTTATAATAAGGCTTTTCATTTCATTTGGGTACTCTATTGGAAGCTGAAAACTACACAATAATTTGCAATATAGACATTTTTATCTGCAAGTAAGTCCTCCTTCTCAGGTTCTAAAATCTATGCCATTTGATTAGTATATTAAAAGTCATTACAAAATGAAGCTTGTCTAATCTGACCTGGCAATTATTGGTAGTCCACACATAGTGGGGTACTTGCGGTGTAGCTGTGCTCACCTATAAATTTGGATTCTGTGGCTACTTTGTGAAGCCTCTCTGGACCTAGATGCGCACCTGTATCCATTTCCAAAGTATGTTGCTCTCCAGGCATGCTCAGTTAACAGCTGGCTAATGATTTGTGTTGAATTTATCTTTGCTGGATGCTGTATTTTGATTTCTTAACCTGTTTAGAGAAATATCTCATTAAAATATCTCATGTCTACTATTTCAGTTGAGAGAATTATTATTAAATTAAAGTTAGTATTAGCAGTAAGTGGCCTCCTTCATAGAAATGAAACTACTTCATCAGGCAGAAACAATCAGAGGAGTAAGAGGCAGGATGGTCCAGAAGACTTAGGAGTAGAATATTCAAAAGCAGAAAATATAGTTTGGGTAACCTCAGAATAATTTTTAGCTTGAAATATGTAATTGCAAATAGGAAAAGCTGTCCATGATAGCTATAAACTTTAGTAATGGTGGGTACATACTTATTATAGTCATATAAACTGTTACAAAGTGTTTTGCTATTTGAAAAATTCATACCTTAGATGCATATACAAAAGGCCTTCAAAAATGGAAAAATAGGATGAAACTATAAAGGAATTTTCCCATGAAGTTTTGAAGACCCCCTCATGTATAGAGTTGTAAAATAAGAAGACCATTCATGTTAGAGCATTGTACACCATTGCGTTACAAAGTCAACGGTTATCTGGACCTTGCTGAATTTCTGCCCGTCTCAGCTTCTCCTTTAGTAGGCTGTTAGGTCTCTGTATGTACGTCCTATACCTCAGATACAAAGTTTTGTGGCAGAAAGCAAGAACAATTTCAAGTGGAATATTACATACACCCTATTTGGGAATAGAAAGAATGGAGTTTATTCCACTGTGCCCTTTAGCATTTGATATTATATATGTCTCAATTTTGCAATTGATAATATTCTTTTTATATATTATTGGTGAAATACATGGAGCCCTGTATTTGCTTTGTGTGATTATTCATGCATAAAATTCTCTATTTAGCTCTGTATTGCCAAAATTGAAACATATTCTTCTCTCTGCATTATTAAGTAGCCATAATGGTGCCCAAGTCTAAACCTGTTGCTTGACTCCCCCATTTGTGTCAAGGAGAACTTGCCATGTGATATGCATCTGGGGCCTTCAGTGTGTTTAAGCCAGAAAGCCAGTATCCCAAACATAGGGATTTTCCACCTAAGAATTTGAAAGCTCTGATAAGCTGCAAATGATTGACCAAGGCCCTATTTCCACCTCTTAGTCTTTATATCTTTTGTTCTGAGAATTACTGAACTAACGGATCCTATTTCACGTAGAGTAGGAACGTTTGGCAAGTCTGGTAACCACTACGTAGAAAAGAACCTTTACACACACGGTTTTATTTCTGGAACGTATGTCTTAAGGAAAATATTCTAAATCTAGAGAAACAATTTTATGTAGATATTCATTGCTTTATAGCCTCCAATAAATGGAAATAGTCAATATGAGAGAATGGAATAATACAACATAGCTATTTAAAATGATGTTTCCAAAATATGTAGGAAAAATATTTATAGTTAGCTTTAAAGGGATATAAAATTATATAAATTACACACATTGTGAAAAATGCAAAAACAGAAAAAGTCTAAAAGGAAATCACCACATTTTAAGTGGTGCCTTTGGATGGTAGGGCTCTGGGTGGTATTCTTTCTTTCTTCTTGGTAGTTTTCTCTTCTCACTTTTCTGTATTGTTTTGTATTTCCTGTAATGTTTACTTATTAGCCTTCTAGTCATCCAAAGACAAACGTTATGCAATAAGATAATTTATTCTAAGATGGTATTTTCATATGAACCATTGAGGAAGAATTATGTTTTTGAAGTGTAGAGAAATTATTTTTGCTTGAACGTAGAAACGATCTAGGAAGCCGTTTTATGAAACTATTACTCTCCTTCTGCTTGAGACCTGCAGGGACAGACACGAATCGCTTCCTGATACAGAAGGATGCGTTAAAGCCGTGCTGCTCTCTATTCAGGTGTTGTCTGTTAGCGAAGCAGTGACAAATGAGCTGTCAGAGTTATAAATGCTTTCTCTCGTAGAAATAGAGCTTGGTTAGTGCAGCTTTTAATTGCTCGTGGTAAAGGCATAAAGCGCACCCCAAGGAGTTTTCTAGTTCCAGAGTGTTGTCAACACTGATGGAGCCATTGAAATATATTTTATAAGTTACTGATTGCCTTTTGTGTTAAACTAGCTGTATCTTGAGCCACGTCTCCATCATGTTTCCCACATGTAACTGTATGCACCTCCTATTTTGCCTTATTGAATAGCTTAGGGAAAATAGTAATTACTTGCTTGAAACGTGAAAGAAAACTAAGCAATAAAGTCAGTCAGAAGATGTTATTTCATGAATGGTAATACTTTCTTCAGAAACAAGAAAAGGAGCTTTGTGAGACATATTTGAAGATATGAGAAACTATTTGGTGATTTTATGTGATTATGCCTAGCTAGCATAAGTCCAGTAAAGTACAACATAAACTTAAGAGTTAAAAACAGAAACCCACCATCAATATGGATGTGTGATGATCCGGGGAAACCAAGCTTAGCCTGTGCCGGCACTTTGAGCTCTGTGCCTCTCGATGTGGAGCTGTGGTCTCTGAGGCGCGTGTAGGTCCAGGCAGTATGTGTGTTTGGGATTTGAACTCAGTTCTTCAGTCTCTCTTCGGTATGTGTGCAATTGTTGGTGATCCAAAACTTAGGAGAATCTGTAAACTGCCCGACTACTCCTAGTTCGACTCACTTTAAATGAACACTCACAGCACCACATACTGTCAGGTACTGCTTTTTGTGTGAGAGTCAAGGACTTCTCCTACTTTTGGGGAGGTCATATATTTTAAATAGAGAGTATGCTATATCACATTGGGTGACACCTCAGTTTATATACAGGCTGTTTCATTGAGAGATGCTATTTTCAGCCCCTCCTTTTGTGAGCCCTACTGTGAACTGCAAACTGTGTGCGTGTGTATAAAAGGTTAAGAGCCCGGGTAGCTGAGTGGGGTGCCCTGCTGCTGGCAGACGACGGAGGCAGCATAACGCACCAGGTGCACGCCGTCAGCTCTGTAGAAGAGTCCGTCTTCATGGGGTCATCTCATGGGCCACTTTTTCTTGAAGCCAGGTAACATTGTCCACAAGCACTATTATGTTGACCGTGTTGGTGTATTTCTAGTGGGAAAAACTGAAACCTAGATCTAGATATTCTCTTCCCTAACCTTTTGCTTCATTTTGTTTTTAATGAAACACTACCTACTAGAAAAACTAACTTGCGAGGTGAAATGAACCCGTGTTCTGACTTTGCTTTGTAAAACTATCATTAGGCGAGGAAAATTGGAATGCTGTATGTTGCTTGGCCCGGGGACACTCTGGCTTGTAGACTTATTTTAGTGGACCGCATTTTGTGGGACTTAATCTGAGTGGATTGTTTACTGTGTGACTGTGACTGAGGCAAAGGAGTTTTCTACAATTTGTATTCTTGGCTCTTAACCCTTTTGTATATGTCTTTGTCTTGGTCTTTTAATGATGTCTGACTTTTGCTTCAAATATATATATTTCACTTAGTTTTAAAATAAATGACACAGTCCCGCTAAGCTCCTAATTCTGCAAGTTTTCTACACTGTACTAATTATGCTCACTTAAACTTCAGTGACACTTGAATAAGCTTTATTTTCTTCGTGGGAAGCTGTCATACTTGAGACTCTTGAGGGTGCTTAGCAGTGTTATTAACTGAGCATGCTCACAACTCCGTTTGTGGTAAAGGCTGTCCCCATTCCTGTCATACATGTGTCTTCTTTTATGTCATGCCATTCACATCACAGCCTTAGTTGTTCTTTGCCACTGCCTGTCTAACACCATGGCTTGGGTTTGGGTTTTGTTGTTGTTGAATTAACAATAACCAAATTAATATGAACTGATTTACATCTTCGCTCTTTGCAGGGGAGAGGGGTGTTGTTTGTTTGTTTTTGGTGGAGGGGGCTGGGGCATACATTTGTGTGGGCCTGAGAGTTTCCAAAGTTGACTTTAATCAGTGTTCTTTGAAAAGTATTGTCACTTGTCACTTAACTGCCTACAAGACAGATGTGCCGATTCTGGGCTTGGGAGGTTGACTGTCACCACTGAGAGCTCAGCCTCAGCCTCTCACTTGGAAGGACCATGGTGGTATTCCGAAGTGGTAGGTTGATTTGTCACACTTCCATATTTCCATGGGAAGAGAGTGTATGCTCCAAAACCAAGCCACCAAACGCCCTGCTGTCGAGTCCTTGCTGACTCGGCCCCTCTAGAGGACAGGGCAGAACTGCCCCTGGAGGTTCTGAGGCTGGGGCTGTTTACGGTGCAAAAGCCTCGTCTTTCTCCCACGGAGAGTATGGTGGTTTCCAACAGTGGACCTTGAGGGCCATGGCACCACCAGGGCTCCTGTCTGCTCCAAAGTAGCACCTAAATTGCCCACATTTGATCATCTTCGTGGACTCTGACTAACATGTAAGCATCCCTACGTGCAGTCAGGCTGACAAGTGTGCTAATACTTCCCTAGAGGTAGAGTGTGGCATGGCTGATCATGTTGTAAACATTATTAATTGTGTTTTCTGACTGCAGGCACGTGACACAAGCTGACCTCAAGAGCTCCACATTTTGGCTTCGAGCAAGTTTTGGTGCTACTGTTTTTGCGGTTTTGGGCTTTGCTATGTACAAAGCATTATTGAAGCAGCGATGATTAAGAAAGGAAAAAAAAATACTGGCCCTACCAAAAAAAGAAATACTTTTATGTACATTCTGAATGCTTTAAATTCTGCTAGATATCCTGAGATATTTATACATGCAGTTACTTTATTAATATTTGTAATTCACGCATAAGAGTATTTTAATGATAGTTATCACTGCAGTATTGGCTAGCATATGGGAAGAAAACAGCTTAACAGCCAAACTACGAAGGCTAACCTTTAGAGGCCAAAAGGGGATGTTTTGTAAATAATGTACATATTCAGGTCTCCCAGATGGCGTGCTAGAACCAGGGTTTCTAGACACTTCTACATGGTATCATTAGTACTCAGTCAGCTTACTCTCTTAGGCTCACGTCAGCCCAGAGATGGTATTTACTCATGGATCACTTATTTATTTCCAGTTTACTCAGAACAATCCTTCTCTACGTACACGAGGCACAATTTGCCCCTTCTCTCCGTTCTTAAAACCAGGCGAGTCAGTGTCAGCTTGCAACAGACTTTCTTCTAGTCCGAGGAGAAGGGTCGCTTGGTAGGCCGGCCTTGGAGCCACTGTGCGGCCTGAGCGCTGTCCAGCTGAGTGTGGCCCCCGTGAAGGAAGGGGTGAGGAGAGGCGGTGAGCAGAGGCAGCATCTGTGTGATCATGTTACTTTGTCAGTGTGTTGGATTTTATAGCCCTTTCAATCAAATGAGAAGAGCAATTTGTATATTATATTACCTGTGTTTTCCGTTTCAATAAACAGTTACCATTCCTACTGCTGGATTACCTCCCAATGTGTAAACCACTGGATGCTGGCTGTGTCCACGCTAGTAGACTGCAGTAACTGCATGTGTCCCGAAGTGTTCTCTATCTGGCTAGGATCCCCTGGCGGCAGCACTTTTTTTGATGATAAAATAAGTCTAATACGTACAAACTCTCATGATAAACCTATTTTTTCCATCACCAACCTTTTCAAGTATTTAAATAAATAACTGCTGTGTACTGTGAACTGGAGTTTTTTTGTCTGACAAAGTAAATACTTCTTTTTAGATAATAACGTCCACTGGTTTCTAGCTTTTTGATTTTGTAGTTTCTGGTTTATTTTTTGTTGTTAATACAAAGATGATACTTACTAGGAAAGAAAACATACAATTGTAAAGAAGAGGAAATTTGTTTTTAAAGTTGCAGCCTCTCTGGGCTTTACGAAGGCCAGGCCTCCTCCCCTACACATGCTGAGAGAAAGAGTTTCCTCCGGCCGGTCACACATCTTTGTGCCTTTCGTGTGGGGTGTCCTCTCCGCTGTCCTGAGGGCACTTCCTCTGAGCCCCCAGCTACGGCTGACAGGCAGGCAAGCATAAGCCCATCAGAGAAATGTGCCACGTGTGCTTCCATCCTTCCAGTGCCCCCTTCTCCCACTGTCCATTTGAAGAAAAGGAAAATTAAGCAAAACCCTGGTGACTCCTCATTTTCATTGCTCCCGAAGAGTTTCACATTTCCTGGACAGACATCTCAGTTCCGTAGCTTCCAGTGGCGGTTCACCCTTCCATCTGAATTCTTCCCCTCGACTGAGATGGTACTCGCAGTGAATCCACCTGATGGATTGCTATGTGTGTGGTAAACAGAAGCAGGTGGTTTGCTAACAGGTGACAAATAGTGTGTTTGTCTTTAGCAACAGCCCCGGCTGCTGCTCAGTACTCTGCAGGCAGCGCAGGGGTTTGTCATCACTTCAGACTCCCTAAAAAGGACTTGTTAATGTAGGAAAATACGTGAATAAGTGCAATATTGGGGTTTGCTGTCTTTTACAAATTGTTCAGGAGGGTCAAACGCTAAGTAATAAAAAAAAAAAGGAAGGCGGCAGGCATTTGAGCAGTGAATGGACGTCTTTTGCTTTCCACCAGTTACATTGTTTGTTTAAATGGGCGGTTCTGAGGCTGCTTGCTGCAGTGTTATCATGAGTAAGTAGTAAGGCATCGTCCCAAAGTCCCATGGCCCATGTAATAGCCTTACGTGGACTTCACACCGCAGAGGACTGTTGCTGCTTTCCAGTCCTAGCAACTCTCCCACGTGGTCGGTGCGAAGGGTCTGTTGTTAGCGGTGGCGGGCATGTAACCATCGTGAGGAGGCCTGGGAGAGAAGAGGCAGGACGCTATTTATTCCTACGCATCTGCACAACACTGTCAGGACAGGGCGCCAGAGGCCAGGCCTGGACAAAGGAGCTCTTCCTTCCCTGCTGGAGGAGGGCAGGCAGGTAACAGCAGGGGAAGCTGGTAACTGCTCCAGCCCGGGGGAACCTAGCTCTTTCCTAAACAGGCCTCAGAACATGACTGGTGGGAGCGAGCCTTGGTGTCCCTTTTCCCTGAATTGCAATCGTGTAAGTCAACATAAAGTTGTCCTTGAATATAGTCAAACCTGCCAGCACTGGAATTTTGCCATGGTAGTGTTCAAACTGCATCCGATCAAAGGCAAGAAACTTGTAAGACCCAGAAAACGCAGGCAACCCCATCAGATTCCGGCTCTCACAGGTTTCCACTGTGGGTACACATCTGAAGACTAAGTGTGACTTGGTGCTCATGAGCACATTAATGTGTGTGGCTTCAAACCTTAGTCTTGAATAGCCTGCGGATTCAAACCACTGACCTTTCTGTTAGCAGCCCAATGCATAACCCACGGCACCACCGGGACTCACTGCCACAAGTCAATGCCGGTTCATGGCGACCCTGTAAGACGGGGCAGAACTGCCCCCGTGCGTTTCCGAGACTAGCCGTACAGGGACAGAAAACCCCATCTTTCCCCCACAGTGTGCCTGGTGATTTTAAACTGCGGACCTTGCAGGTCCTAGCCCAAGTCGTCACCACTGCACCTGTGCCCCTCAAAACTTCAAAAGATGTCACTAATTCTTGACTCTTGCGCTCCATCAGAAGTGCCCCTGGGTGAGAGCGAGCGTCTGGGAAGGCGGTGTGACCCTCCGGCCTGTGGAAGTGTCTGACCTGTGAGTACCTCAGCCCAGGCTTCTCTGCTGCACCCTGCTTTCAAAGCCCGCCCCTTTGCTCCCATCCACACAGACCGGTCCCAATTTCTTGGGGTTCAAAAAATGACACCTGGCGAAAGGAGAGGTTTATTTCCCAACCCGTGATGCCGTGTTTGATCCCCCTGGATTTCCCAGGGAGCGAGTTTTGTAGACTTTTTCCTTCTCCAGGAGCGGAGTCTGTGGCAGAAGTCTGGCAGGGGAATTGAGAGATTGCCATTCTTTCTGCCTTGGTCGTCCACGTGTCCACAAGGAGGCATTGCCCATACTATTAGGTAAAAAACCTTCCGCTACAACACATTCTATCCATAGCTTGTGTATGAGCCTCTTCTACATCCCACACGTCACGGGCCGAAACGCTCACGGCTCGGCGTTTGCCTGTGGAGCAGGAGGGTGAGCAGCTGAGGCTGCCGCACTGGGCTGTGGATGCAGCCGGGGCCGCCGGGCCGGGGCCCTTGGAGAAGGCGTTTGAACTTCGTATAGTTTCCACGTCACAAAGAAGGACGTAGATTGGGGGTTTCTAACCACGTAAGCATTTAGATATCGTCCTTGCTCCCGGGTTGTACTAGCAGCAGGCCGCGGGCTGGATCTGGCCAAATCCCTTGGGCGGGGTGGTGGTGGGGGGTGATAGCAGAAAGGAGGGAACCACCTGCCAGCACCTCCTCATGGTCGGGAAAAATTATGTTCTAGAATTACAAAGAGTTAAACTAAGAACTTAAAAAATATAGTGGAACCACCACCTAATTTACAATTAAAAATTGTTATTAAAACATCTAAATAAAAGGCTGTTTTATGTGGGGTAGCATTCCCATAAACTTGTTGCAAAACTTCTGTGATTTGGCAAGATGTCCACTTGAGTTTTGTTTAAAATTTGATAATCGTTGTGACCTCAAAATAATTTTATTCCCATTGCACAAAAAGGACTCCCCCCCCCCACCTTTTCAAAGCCCCCTAATGAGATTAAGACAAATGTATGACTGAAAGAACGTGTCTGCAGCCATCTGCTGATCACGGACACGCTCAAACATGCTGTTTGGAATAACTAGGCATGTGTGAACTTTGAAACGTCATAAGGCGGAGGTCTGTAGGAAATGCTCGCTGTTCCCACTGTCACAGACTTCTCCGGGGCAGTGCGCGGTGCTCTGCCCGGAGGACCCCTCTGAGGGCATCGGGACACTAGGAAGAGGAAGGGAGCAGCACCCCTTCCGTGGGCAAAGCACGGCCAAGCACTCTGCCTCTGGTCCTTGCCCGTCTCTGATTACATTTTGTCCCAGGGTGTACCTGGCACGTCTGGAAGGTGACAGAAAGCCTTGAAACGGTTTCACTTGGCTTCTCGTTATTAGGGGAATTGCCCCGCGGAGTTTATCTCTGTGGTTATGCTCCCAATTTCTGCATCAGAATTTCAGAGCTTCCATAGACCTCAAGAACCTCTGTCCAACTCTACTTTTCCACCAGAAACGGAGGCAGTAAAAGGGAGAGTAATTACCCAAAGCCACCTTAGCATTCGTGCGTACCTGAGCTGGGGCTGGGACCCAGGTATCCTGACTGCCATTGAGTGGCCTCCCTGCTGCAGGCTGCAGCCAGCCTTTAACAACACAGCTTTGTGTCTATGACTGATACTTCGTGATCTGTCATCTCATTTAAACTGCCAGCCAGCAAGAAATCACTGAAAGGCTTTTGCCTTTTTTTTTTAACTAACAAGGGTTTAAGTTAGCAAAGCAGATTTCCTGGCAGCGTTCCCTGTTCCCCTGAGGCATGTTGTCTTTGTTTCTAGTGGCTGTCACCAGGTCATTGATGGTGTCTATTTAGGGGCGTGCAGGCATGATGGTTAGCTTTATTTCCTGTACAGATCATTGCGGGAAAAGGACATATGACTCCTTTCACCAGCTCGAAGGTTTTCAATGACTTGTACTGAAACTGTTAATCTTGAAAAATATATAGATCGGTAAACAAGTGGCCATCTAGCTCAGAAGCAACAAAGCCCACATGGAACAACATATCAACCTGTGTGATCACGAGGTGTCGAACGGATCACTGAAGACAAATGGGTGCATAAGCAAATGTGGCGAAGAAAGCTGATGGTGCCCAGCTATCAAAAGATATAGCGTCTGGGGTCTTAAAGGCTTAAAGGTAATCAAGCGGCCATCAAGCTCAGAAGCAACAAAGCCCACATGGAAGAAGCACACCAGCCTATGCAACCACGAGGTGTTGAAGGGATCAGGTGTAAGGCATCATCAGAACAAAAAATCTTACCATAGTGAATGATGGGGGGAGTGCAGAGTGGAGATCCAAAGCACATTAGTAGGCCACTGGAGATCCCCTTGCAGAGGGGTCTAGGGGAGGAGATGAGCCAGTCAGGGTGCGATGTAACAACGATGAGAAATACAACTTTCCTCTAGTTCCTAAATGTTTCCTCCCTGCTCCCACTACCATGACTCGAATTCGATCTTGCAAGTCTGGCTAGACCAGAGAAGGTACACTGGTACAGATAGGAACTGAAAATACAGGGAATCCAGGACAGATGAACCCCATAGGACCAGTGGTGTGAGTGGCAAAACAGGGAGGGTAAAGGGAGAATGGGTAGGAAAGAGGGAACTGATTACATGGAAATGTGTGTGACGTCCTCCCTGGGGGACAGACAGCCGAAAGGTGGGTGAGGGAAGACGTCGGACAGGGCAAGATATGACAAAATACCCATTTGTAAACTATCGAGGGCTCATGAGGGAGGGGGGAGCGGGGAGGGAGGGGAAAAATGAGGACCTAATGTCGGGGGTTTAAGTGGACAGAAAATGTTTTGAGAAACGATGTACAAATGCGCTTTACACAATTGATGTGTGCATGGATTGGGATAACAGTTGTATAAGCCCCTAATAAAATGTTAAAAAAAAAAAAAGAAAGAAAAGAAAAGAAAAATATATAGATTGCTTCACTTCTCATTCATAAGTGGGACAATCCCTCGGAACAGCAGCTTTCCATTTAAAAAC